GGTACCATCGTCTTATTGGGGCCCATTTTTGGTCGTTATAGCAGTGAAACTATTTGGCATTTAATATGCTTATAGTATAAAGAAGGCTCTTTCTAAGTTCATGTAATGTCAACTACGGAACGCTACCTTTATATTCACATGGCCCGACACACACATGGCCGGTTTTTATTTATAGAAGACGGGGCATAAGAGCACGCGGCTCATCTACCGGCACGTTGGCGGTAGTCACTTACGCCGATCAAAGCCAATTCCACAAAAACTTCAAGGAAGGAAACTTCTGATAAATCGCACAATGATGGACCACCAATCTTCCAGACTTGTGATGGTGGAAATCGACGACAGAAATTAATCCGAACCATTCCTCTGAGCACTCTCCTAGTTAAACATGATAGTAAATGCATAGGGGTGCATCTTCTCTTCGCAGCAACACTTTACTAGTCGAGCTGGTCACCGTCGAGCCGTTGGATGCGGTCAAGTGGAAGGAGCTAACACTGGGATAACACTGCCCACAGATGAAAACAGTATTCCATGTGAGGGTGGGCATGCGCCTTTTGAGCCAATTAACGACACCATACAACAAAGCGTTTTGTAAGTTCTAAAACTATATAAAGCACGCTGCTGGCATGAACGAGAATACCACTCCAAACTGTAGTAAGGTACTTGAAAGCAAACTCAGTATTTCTCAGAATTTTGATTACCTATTATATAAATCATTCTCGACTGTGTAGAGCATCGAATGAGAATAGGAATATAATTTAACGATGCATTCCAGAGAAAGCTATGCAATAAAATTATTTATGGGAGTTTTGCATACGAAAACATAAAAATAATTTTCACATATCCAAAGAACAGGACGTAAATAATGCAAACCAATTTGTTTTAAATATACAATAATTTTAGGTTCTATAATCCATTATACATCAAGTATTTTTTTCCATTTATTACTATACTACATATATACCTGTACTAGGTACTAGATATATAAATAAAAATGTAAATCTTTGTTTTTTTTTTTTCAAAATATTTATCTCCGAAAAATTCTTCTCCGAATTCTTTGAAATTTTGTCCCTACGTTTCATTCGAATACGCGCGCGTTTTTATATATTTTTCGAAAAACTTTTCAAACTACAGATATAAGTAGTCGGATATAGCCAGCATTCTACTAAAAAAGAAATTTTAGTGCTTCAGCATCATATTTTCACTCTTTACTGTGATAAATAAAGTCTTCATTCATAGATAACTTTGTTAGTACACAGAAATTCTTAATTTTTGTACGTGGTAGAGCCATGCTGCAGCTATATTATAATTATAGCATGAATGGGTTGGCTCGACGGGGATGCGCTCTCACAGAATACCAGCGTAAAATAGCAGCTTAATGTTGCTGTGTTTCGTGTGACTGTAGAGAACCGGAGACCTTTTTTACCGGAAACGAGGCATTGCATCTTAGTCGTCAGGGGTGACAACGCATCTGTATTTTCATTCTCAATTGAATATAAATTTAGATGTCTATGGACAACAGCATTCACTTCACATCACATCATCAGGTGGACTGTGTGCTCGTTTGTCAACCTTATTCTATATAAGAAATATTCTAAGTACTGATTTATTACGTGCAGGGTTGTGCATAAAAACGTCATAGGAGATAAGGTCTTAGAAATTGAAAAAATCAAGGACATGATGCGAAGTCTACGTGGTAGAGCCATGCAGCAGCTATATTATGGTTGTAGCACGAATGGGTCGGCTCGACCGGGGAAGGACCACGCTCTCACAGAAAACCAGCGTAAAATAGCAGCTTAACGCTGCTGTGTTTCGTATGGTGAGTGTAGAGAACCGGAGACCCTTTTTACCGGCAAAGAGGCATTCCATCTTAGTCCTCACGGGTGACAACGCAACTGCATCTTGAGTCTTTATTGAGGATAGATGTAGATGTCTATGGGTCACAGTAACCACTTACCATCAGGTGGACTGTGTGCTCGTTTGTCACCCGATCCTATAAAAAAAAAGAAGTTCGCCTCCACACAGTTCAGGCAAAACGTCGGACTCTTTAGTGCTCAAAATAATAGAAGACCCAGCGATGAAATGCACATTGGTTATATACTTTAATTTTCCGTTTACTTACATTTATAAAGATATTTGACTTCACACTTATAAAACTTCTATGCAATTTACTGCGATATTATTAATAAGCACAGACACCTGCAAATTTAAATTACGACCTGGGTTTGGTCATAAAAATCTGTACAAAGTATTCATCGACTTAAGATATTCACAATAATGAAAGTAAATATTTCCAGACCATAATTAGTTCCTGGATATAAAACACCTATATATTTTTTTAAACCGTCAAGTGGTCAAGTTTTTTTTTTTAACTTTGAATTCCGCCGCACTGCTCCGGTACATGTTCTACTGCGATGTTTCATTTCACCGACAAGCGTTGAATTTAGCACGATTATAAAATTTAGTTTTACATATGAAAGTTGAGTTCGTATTTCTCTAGACTAGATCAATATGACAGTACAAAGACTTACTTAAATAGTGTCAATAAAAAAAAATTAAGTAAATGTAACCGTCATTGTTTTCATTTCCTTTTTCCATTTTCGCATATAACAAATACATATTGCTATAAATTTTCGTAGTTACAGACTTTAAATTTGTGATGTATCAAAAACTAATAATATTATAGAAATTGTGCATTAATCCCATACATTTAATAAATATCACAGTCAATGTTATATAGTAACTTATCGCATACTTCTGATCTGCCGCCTTAGAGACTCGAAGCGGGCAATGTCCTGGAAACGGTGTTAGGATGCTTAGATTTGTATATAACTTAAGGTGAGCAGACTAGAGTTCACAATAAACCGGGAACCTCTTCCATGTAAATCAACTCGAATTTACATGCAAGAGGCGAGCCAGATAATAACGACTGCCAGTGGAATAATAATAACAATGGCAAAATACTGTTGATCTGTTTGCATACTGTAACAGTCTACCGGAAGTTGACTTCCTTGTTCAATGTATTTATTTATTTACGCTAAATCTTCATTTTTAAAGAGCACATCATAAATTATTACTTTAAAAATTTGTGATTAACAATTTCAGTAACGCTGGGCTAGACTCTCGAACCCATTCCCTAAACTAGAATGAGTTGAGACGAGAAAAAGTGAAATTATTATATTAAATTCATTATAACTTTTTTCGATTTTCAAATTTAAGAATTTTTAAGTTAAATGCAGTAGGAAATACAGACACAATTTAAGCAAATTGTATACCAGACTTTATAGAATGGTAAAATATGTATTAAATACAAAAAAAACAATTCAACATAAAGATATTGTCAAATTAATTAAGTTAATTATAACTTCTGTATCTAATTTTGATTTGAATATCTTTATTGTAAGAAATTATATAGCCAAAACTTCTGCAATAATAAATATTGCGAAGATACTTTATACGGGAAAACAACACGGCAAATTAATGTCGAATTTATCTGAGATAGGCGCTTTACGAACAACATCCAGTTCTGGACCAGTCTGAAAACAGTTACTCTGGTACACGACTTAGCTCCATGCTTCCGGGAACATTCTAACTGTATTCCTTGCAATATTATATATTGTTAAAACTGTCTGTCGAAGTGAAATATATTTAGTTTGTATATACACAATATTAACTTTAAATAATAAAATATAGTTTATCTATTTTTACTATTATTTTATAGAATAAGGGTGATAAACAAACTTACAATCCAATTGATAACTAAGATAAAATGTATGATTAGTGATTACCAGTAAAAAGGGTCTTTGATTTTATACGCTGACTGTTCGAAAAATAGCAGCATTAAGCTGTGCTTGTATTCTGCGAGATCATGGTCATTCCCCTGTCGTGGCGACCCGTTCGTGCTGAAACCATAACATAGCAGCAACTGCTGGCTTGACCACGTTAAATATTATGACACCACTGCGGGTTTACCGCATGGTGGTATTGTGTTTTGTTCGTAAGTGCACCTTATTGTTTACAGACAGGTACTGACCATCGACTTACGGTGAAAAATTCAACCAAAAGTATTGAATTGAAATCCCACAATTGATGACCACAAATACACATTTTTACTAGATGTAGTGCAACGTAATAACGCGAGTGTTTCAGCCTGTCTAGTGTAGAGAGTATAGAAATGCGTGCCTGATGGCGCTCTTTTGAAAAAAAAATTCAATCTATACAACAGTAGACTTTTAAAGCTAACAATGCAATAATAACCTAAGACGGCTCCGTGGCGTAGTGGCTTAGCAATGAGTTGTTGCGCTGGTGGCCGCGGGTTCGAATCCTGCACGGAACAAGAATTTGTATGGCCGACAAATATGTTGTTCCGATTCTGGATGTTTGTCCTCGTGCAATCTATGTTTGTAAACTGCCTCCACGATACAGGAGGAAATCCTGGGGGTAACGTTATTTAAAAAAAAGAAAATAATAATACTTTATAGCTACAATATGAGAAAAATATAACTATCCTTTACTTACTCACAAGATAATAAATACTTCGTGTTATTATATTGATTTATAGACAAAAGTAATTTATATTTTAATAAGAGAAAAATCATTTTTAATAATTCTTGGTCGATTTGTGTTCGAGCTCAGAATCTCAAAATCGGAGACAATCTTACATTAAAATCAATTATTAATTTATACCATACTATTGACCTTGTGGCGGTATAAGAGAATTTATTCACTGTTTACGTCCCGTGGGTGTACGATAAAGGAGACAGAGGGAAACAAAAATAAGAAAAATAAAATAAAATAAACTAACAATACTTCTGCACAGCGAGATAAGAATGGCAAATATGAGGCAATCTATGGGAAGGCCTATTCAGCAGTGAACTTTGATAGATTGAACTTTTGGTTGGTTTTTTGTTTTTGTTTGGTTGTTTGTTTGTATATATATGTTTTTAATATTAAGTTTATGTGCGATTTCAAAAATACATTAGGTAAATTAGAAACATTTGATTTTACAACGTTTTTATTTTATGGCAAAGAGCTGCAGCGAGAGCGTGAGTTAGCCGAGGATGCAGTCTCAGTGCAGTGCGATCAACTCGAGCCCGTTGTCCATACCTCACGCATTCTGCCACCATCGTCGTGTTGCACGACTCCTGTTAGTACAAAAATGTGATACAGTTATACCACAATCGTAACAAACGTGATGTAAATAATAATTAGAGAGAAATATTTTCACATTCAAAATTTTTACTGTATGTTGCTTAAATGTTATAACGAAAACAATGTAAAATTATACCAATAATGTAATACAAATAAATCAATAAAATAATTCGTTTTAATAAAAATAAATTAACACTCGACTCTCCGAAACCTACAGTTTTAATTCAAAGTATTTTTCTATTTTGACTTTTGATTCTATTCATTTTTGTTATTTTAGATTGCAATTATGCAAACAATAAATATACAAAGTAATATAGTCAAAGATTGTGATAACAAAACATAGAGAATTATTTATTAAATCGAACATTTACGTACCTTATAATGGTTGAGCTGCACTTCACTAAATGGGGCAGACCATCCGGCGAAACCTGTCATTCCAAGGTTTGTTAAAGGGTAGTGATTAAATGCAGTTAATACTCTCCTTGTTAGCATCATACTTTTACTATAATAGCCAACGGGACTCACTAACGCCGAGCGAATAATATTTTGTGATAATTTGGGAATAGGAATTTTCCTCTTACACTTAATTCCGTATTTGTTTAAGTCTTCTTTATCTAAATTATGTAAATCAGTCATACTAAAACTATTAGAATCATCTTCTAATTCTATTTTATCTATATCTATATTGATCGCGTCATTAATTCGTACATTATCTCGTTTGACATAGATCTTACTCTTGTTAGAATCATTTTTAAAGAATTTATATTTATGCACTCCTTGCATAAAATCAAAAAAGAAAACATTTTGAACCAAAATTGCTGAATATTCTTTTGGATTCCAACCATGTTCCCTTAAACGTGTCAGCAAATCTGACAAATTAAAAGCTATTTTTGGCAACAGTATTTCATCTACATCTAACGGTACAATATACTCTGATTCTACTAAATTTCTATATAAGCAATCATTATAAGTTATTAAATGGTCCCTTCTTCTTTGCCATAGGGATCTTTCAAAGCTATATTTAATAGGAACGTGAAATAATCTAACATACCCTTGATCTTTATATCTTAATAGGACATTTTGGGTCTCCTCATTTATTTCATCAATGTATACATCGATGAGGTCAACGCCCAGTATCTTGTTGGTTTCAATCCATTCTACTAAGTTTTGTGCCATATTTTTATTGAATTTCATGTCTTTAACACATATTGTAAATGTGCGTTTATATTCGGTTAATTTCTTTGAGGGTTTTAATACAAATGCATTACCAGGATCTTCGCAGGGTTCAGTAACTATAGATACCACAGACAGGTCATTTAGACTATCTGTTAATGGGCAGGAAAGTAAAAGTGGTGTCTCCACTGTACTTGATGTTGCATCCCATTCGTGCCACCACATTTCCAAAGGTTTTGCTGCAACCACTTCAATTGAATCTTCAATGGCGTTAAAAGGACGTGTCTGGCAAAATAATGGTTCTCCCGCTGAAATATTTCGACCTGCAAACAAAATAAAAACTAAAATTAATTAAAATTTTATGATAATAGCACAATCTCTAGGATTATTTTATCATCATCCTCATTACAGCCCTTCATAAGTCCACTGCTGCACATAGGCGTCCTCCAAGAAATGCCACTTTCTGCAGCTCTTACTAGGTCGTCACATCATTTAGTGGGAGGTAAACAATGACATTGTGTAGAATACCTAACCTAACTTAGTTATTATTTGTAATATAATGTAATATTACAGCTTTTATACATCTCATTGCTAGGCACAGGTATTCTATTATTTTATCGTTTTAATCACGTTACCTTCACACTAATATTTTCTCCTGTATCATAAAGGTTGTTTCCATACATAAATTATACAAGGACAAAATCCTTTTATTTTTTTTTTTTTTCATATTTAACAAATATTTTTATTTTTCTGTTTTTTAGCTTCTTTTTTTCAATGTGTTAAAAGACATGTGAAGACAAAGAAATCTCGTGTGGTAAGTGATAAGTGTAGAGAACAGGAAACCTTCTTTTACTGACAACGAGGCATTTTATTTTAGTTCTCTGGGATAACAATGCATCTATATTTTAATTCTTTATCTCGAGTATATGTAGGATCATCGATGGCTAATATGGGTAAATAATTATCTTATGCTACCACCAAATAGCAAATTACACACGAGGTACCGCTGCGATAATGGTTACCTTGTAAGTGCTAAATACTGAATTTAAGCTTCTGCCAAATAAGAAAGAAAAACGTCATCGCAACGTCTAGCTACGGTATAAGATATTTCTATCGCGTATTACGAGTAGCTTCCACCACTAGCAACATAATTTCCATTTATTAAAGTGAGCAACTAGATATTTATATTCAAGTTAATCTCCTTACTATAATTTATACTGAAGCTGTCTTCACGGTAAGTCTGTTTAGTGAGTGTAATAAAAAAAAAACGGAAATACTCGAGGCGGCGGCACGTGCTCCAACTTAAACATGTCTTTATCAGCAATTAAATCAATACATGAAAGACACTCGGTGGTTTTTAAACTACGAAAAAAGAAAACATAAAGTTACAGCAATAAAGATTTAAAATCTTCATTGTTGCCCATAATGCATATAAAAATGAATGTGAAGTGAACTGTACCCATAAATTTATTCATTGTCCATTACAGCCAATTAAAACCCACTGCTGAACATAGGCCTCCCCCATGGACTGGCTCATTTTAATCTGGGTAAGTGAATTCTTTTACTCCTTTAGTCGTTAAAAAATTTCTTTAAACTTTCATTACAAGTAAAGCTACGTTTTATTAAGTATGTTAACTAACCATATAAAAACTCTTTTATTACAAACTCATATACACTTCGCTAAGCATCATTGTCATTATGCTAATAAAAAATGCTACAGTGTACTACCATACATACATTTATTATTTTAATAATAAACAAAAGATTTATAGTGTTTTCCAATATCTATACACTGCTGACCGTATGAGGAGGCTCAAGGTCGCTCAGCGAGCTATGAAGAGGACTATGCTCCGGGTTTCTCTGTGTGATAAACTTTGAAATGAGGATATCCGCAGTAGAACCACAGTGACCGACATAGCCCAACGGTTTATTCGTAAGCTGAAGTGGCAATGCGTCGGCAACCGAAGGAGAAAAAAGGTTCTTGAGTGGCAGTAGAAGTGTCGGTAGGCGAAGTGTAGGGCGACCCTCCACTAGATGGAGCGAGGACCTGGTAAGATATGCAGGAAGTCGATGCATGCGGGTGGCTCAGGACCGTTCTTTGTGGCATTCCTTGGGGGGGGGGGGCTATCAGCAGTGGACTTGTGAAGGGCTGATGATGAACAGAACAGTTTTATTACTAACTGTAAGCTAGTGCTTGACCTCAATCCTACCTTATGATAAAAAGTGTTGATACTCGTATATATAAAAGTGAAGACTTTTTTAAAAAAACATTTATACGACTATGTGCAGCAGTGGACTTGTGAATGGCTGTAATGATGATGATGATAATGATCACTGTACAACGATTGTCTTAAGAGTTTAATGCCAGTAAAATCTATAAATTTTTTTTTTTATTATTCTATATAATATACAGGATTATTTAAGAAAACATTTAAAAAAATATTAACTGCAAAATGCTATTATAATGTTAATGACTTCCTTAATGACAAATCTATATAAATGTAAAAAAACTAATTTAATTACTATTTACTACTTTATTATATACATTGTTAATATCATTGTATTGTTAATAATGCCATTGTATAATTATTTTTGATGATTTTTTTACTTGATGATGATGACATTATTTAGTAGATATTATACTTTTTGTCATAACTCATTAATTATCTGTTACAGCTATTTTTATTTTCTATTTTTTTCATATTTGTCACCAACTATGGTCAAACATGTTGATTCAAAGTTATAACTTTAAGACCAATAATAAACAACAAATGTATTATTATCTACACATGTTTTTGCAAATAAATATATCTTTATCTTTATCTTTATCTGATGACTTCCGAAAAATGGCTGCATGACCATCTTGTTCACACTTGACGCAAAATACCCAGACCGGCGACGGGTAGCTTTGCGACAAAGGTACGAGACGTCTGGTACTGCGATAGTCAATCCACTTGCAATTAAGGCAAATCTTTCCTAAAACTGGAGAGGTCCGTACCCAGCAGTGGATTTTTGAGCGGGTGAAAAAAGAGATGTAGAAGAATGTCCAAAAATAATTGTTAAATTGCACCCAATATCCCAGAGTATTTAGATACTAGTGCATTCGAAAGTGGAGAATATAGGAAAGGACAGTAAAAATTAAATATTTCGAAATCACATGCAAAAATATTATTTTTATTTGTGTGATAAGGTTAAAAGTAATATATATATTATATAAAATTTAATACTTGAGTATAAATTTTTAATCTTTTGTCTTAAATTTATTGCATCCAGCAGTCTTATTGTTCAGTATTGTCTTTTGACGATGAATCCAAATGACGAATTTCTTGACGGACTTGACCGTATTCACCACGCCAGTTAAGAGAGTTAGTATTAGCAAATACGATACCCTTGCAATGTGTAGCAATGCAACTCCCCATCAAATATCTGTGTGGTTCTATCTCGGCATAACTGGGATATGTAACGCGTGTAGATGAGACAATTAGATTGACAAAAAGTTTATTTTTACATAAATAAAAACAAAGTTCAATAAATCATGATAAGATTTGTCAAAAACTAAGAATAAAAGAAGTTTATAATTTAAATATAAAGTGTCCCTGCAATTGAGTATACTTATCTTACAAAATAAAGATAACTTTCCTTAAAAGCTACCGGTAAGTGTAGACAATTTGATAGTTACAATTCGTTCGCAATAAGTTGGATTGCGCGTTTTACATTCCGTTCATTCTTCTTTATAAAGTGCTTACAGGGTTGTCTCAATATTTTTACGTGAATTAATTTAAAAGTATAACTACTTAAACATTTTAATAAAATAAAAGATTACAAATTAATAAAAAGTTTAAATGTTACGACGATTGACACATTGGTTTCTTCACTATATTTCAATATTAACGGTAATTTATTATAAAATTTACGAACATTTCTCGGTAGCAAATATTTTAATATTGAACTTTGTTTGAAATGCTTTTCAAAGTATAGATTTTAAAATAATACCTTTACTCTTATTTTTAACTTTAAAAACGTTGTCTGTTTATAATGTACTTTTGATTTTATCATACACTAACTGTTCCCCGCGACTTCGCCCGCGTGGAGTTATTTTTCGCGGAACCCTAAAATAAAAGCAGCCCAAGTTACTCCTTATAACATCAGCTATCTGCCAGTGTGTATAAATATTGATAAATATGACATTAATATTTATATGATACTAACGTCACTCAATTGTTTTGCCTTCCCGGAACCCCTCCACTAAGACTTAAACTTTATAGTATGATATTAAAGTTCAAATTGACTTTTAAGTATTATTACGAATCTTTTGTATAGGAATATAGAAAAGTGTTGTATTTAGACTTTTTCAGGTAATTTTTTAAATTTTCCTCTCTGTAAGAACCATCTTCGTACTTCAAGGAATATTATAAAAAAGAATTAGCGAAATCGGTTCAGCTGCTCTCGAGATTTGCGCTTAGCAACACATTTAGCGATTCATTTTTATATTATAAGATAACCTACAAAATAAAATAGCTGTTAAACTTTATCGAATTTAGTACCTACTAATGAAAAGAAAATTTTAATACATAATATATGATTTAATACATGGTTTTTGAAACTGTTTCAAGATTTTTTTAAACTCTTTGTCATCAAAAATCAACCGTTGTTTTTCTTACTTTATATTAATTTAATCGAATTGATGATCAAATCATAATAAAATACACAAAAACAATGTACTTTTAGTTAATGTAAACAATAACATCTTTATTCATGTATATAAAATGCCAATTTGTGAGTTTAGTTTTTATATTACTTTATAAGTTGTTTAAAAAGATAAGAAAATTACTACTGCTTAGAAAACAAAAATAATTAAAATTGGCGTTTGTATTATGTCTAAACGAAAAAAACTTAAAGGAGACTTACAATATGTATACCGATTTTTCATATTACAATATTTGACACCCATACTGTTATCTACTTACCGTGAAAAATGGCAAGAATTCGCACGTAGCGTTGCGGTGCCCTTTCGTCGTAGTACGCCGCATACAGGGAAACGGAAGTCCCCTTGACCCGCTGCCAGGAATCGGAGTATGCGTGAGGGGACCAGGTGCGATTCTGAAACATTATTTACTTGAAGTGATCATAGATACAACACCTCAAACTTTATGTAATACGTTATTTATAACTAAAGAACCATTGGACAAATACAGAAGAAATTAAATGTCAGTTTAACTTAAAACTTAGGCTGACACAGTAGGCTGACGTCTACGATAAAATAGCCGAGCAGCGCTTGAGCAGCGCTTTTTTTCCGACTTGCATATCTCAGGTCAAACCCGGGAGTTGTGTATCGCTAGCAACGCAAAGTCGGGAATTTGCATTTGAAAAAATCCAAAATTAGGGGTTTTTTAGGTGCTAATTAGGTGCCAAATTTAAAAATTAGGTGCTCTAAAATTTTCACCGCAACGAACGATTGAAATTTGCTTTGCTAGCAAAACGTCTCGCTAGCAACGCAATGAATTTATTAGATATATGATAAATATTAATAGCAAGGAATTATGTGCCAATTAGGTTAACTTAATTGCGTTGCTAGCAAGACGTTTTGCTAGCAACGCAAATTTCAATAGGTCGTTGCGGTGAAAATTTTAGAGCACCTAATTTTTAAACTTAGTACTTGATTAGCACCTAAAAAGCCCCTTGTTTGGACTTTTTCTGAAAGCAATTTTGATTCTATTTTGATTTTCAGGAAATCTGAATTTTGAATCTGCTATGTTCTGAATAACGACTTTATTTTTATTAGGGGCGCCTTGTTACTGCGTATACTTGCAGCACCTAATTAGCACCTAATTCCTGGCTATTAATATTTATCGTATATTTAATAAGTTCATTGCGTTGCTAGCGGGACGTTTTGCTAGCAACGCAAATTTCAATCGTTCGTTGCGGTGAAAATTTTAGAGCATCTAATTTTTAAACTTGGCACCTAATTAGCACCTAAAAAGCTCCTAATTTCGGATTTTTCCAAATGCAAATTCCCGACTTTGCGTTGCTAGCGATACACAACTAAACCCGGGCGGCCCTTTTTCAATTGAATATCTATTTAAATTAAACAAACTCAACACCCAAGATTATCTCAATACATCAAAAGAAAAACATTACTAAATTAGTTCACCCATTGTAGAGATTGTCGTGCACAAATACACAGACAAACAGACATAAAATCACGCAGATTATGTAACTGATTATAATTAATATTTATCAGATTTTATAATAAACGATTTTATTATTTGTATATATATATTTCTGGCCTGGATTCTCACTTTACGCACACTATGTAGTTTTCTCGTGTTATCTTTCCTGTTTCAATTTAGTAATGCTAATCAGATATGATCGGAGGTAAGCTTGAATGCAGTATCAGCGACTCCCGGATGAACATAAACCGTGCAATTGTTTATACGATAATCATCATCATCGTTACAGTCATCACACATCAAAAGTGCGCTCTTGATCGCACGCGATAATATTTAAGGTAAATAAGACGCAACAACATATTTTTATAGAATAAGGAAGGAAGGATAAGGAGCACACAGTCCACCTGATGGTAAGTGTATGTTAAGGATTAAGATGGAATGTCTCGTTTTCAGTTAAAAGGGTCACTTGTTCTCTACACTCACCATAAGAAACACAGCAGTATAAAGGTGTTGTTCTACGCTGGTATTCTGTGAAAGCGTGGTCCTTCCCCAGTCGAACATATCTCTACCACGATAAAAAATTACTACGTAAGAAAATTGATACCTTAGAAAAGAACTGTTACTTGTTTGTTGCTTTATGTCTAAAATTACTAATGATTTTATTTAAGGTAATTTTTACAGTGTAAATAAGGTGTTGAAGTAATTTAATTATCATAATGAATTAAATTAAGGAAAATAGTTGAATTAATTACATTAAATTAATTAATTTAATCAAAAGTTGAAAAAAATTAAAAAAGTTTTACACAAACCGTTCACAAGTTTGCAAATATTTGATTTCTTTTAGTACTTTGTCGAAAAATAACAATAATAATTATTAAAGGTTATTTTTGGAATTTACCCAATTAGCGTTTTATTTATAAACAAATGGTAAAATTAAAAAATTTGTACTAGCGACTTCTATCAGATCTTGATCAAATTTATATGGGACCACATGAGAAGCATCAGCTTTCAAATAAAAAAAAAACAATAATCAAAATCGGTTCACCTAGAAAAAAATTCTGAGTTAATACACATAAAAATAATACAGTTGAATTGAGAACCGGTTGAAAAATAGTTTTATTCTAGCCGCTCAAAAGTTTAGAAGTATTTGTTTTCTCATGGTACTAAATTGAAAACGACAATAAATAAATTAAAAAATTGGGTAAACAATTATCGTTGACAAGAAACGAATCAATAGTGGTGATGCCAATCGATTAGCAAAATAACATCTTGTTTATTACATATTAAATCATCATCATCATTAACATCCGTAAGCTCTCGAATTGATGTTAAGTAGTTAGGAAAATGTATCCTAACTGCAAGGTTCTGCAGATATATTTTTTAAATTAAAATAAACGCAACATGTCTAATTTTTACAATAATTATGAGCCGTGTTACAGCTAAAGTTTATACGGCCATCAGCAATTACAATGCAATTGTGAACACAATATACACGTGCACACACATGTATTCACAATCAGAAATCAGATTACGAAGAAGTAAAAAATAAACGTGCATGAAATATGACTGCAACGGACGGTTACATTACGAAGGACACTATCATTATAATAATCGAAATACTTGCGGTTGTAAGCAGTATTTCATGAGCACTGGTTTGTAGCAACTACGTGACACGAAATTGGCGCACTATAAGGTAGCAGAGATTCAAAAGTTTTAAGAAAGTAATTGTTTTTTTTTTCTTGATGTACTCGTATATATGACGCAGAGGTAGTTAAATGATTTATATGCCCTGGAACCTGGGTAAAAATTGTTTTAAAATCGGTTTTAGAATCTGGTTGTGTTGTGTTTGTAACTTTAACACACCACCATAGCCTACGACCGATTTAATCGCCAGCTCATAGGGCACGAGTTAGGTGCCATATGAGTGTCTATTTGCGCGTACGCGTTTTTTGATTGATTTCGAACTGTAGCGTAAAATAGCAACATAATGCTATGTTTCATGTACTGAATGACGAGAACTAGTGACCCTGTTACTGGTAACAAAAGTAAGCATTACATCTAAGTCCTCAGGGGTTCCAACGTATCAGCATTTTGTTTTTTATTCGAAAATAGATATTTAGGTGCCAAAACTCAGCTGCAACAAGATCCTTTTTACCATTAGATGGGGTGTGTTAATTCACACTAAAAACAGGATATTGAAACCAAATGAAAAATCTTTAGCACATAGATAAAGAAAAAAATCAATACATTTTGAATAGTATTTTTTTTATATATAGAATAAGGGTAACATACAGTCCACCTGATGGTAAGTGGTTGCTGTGGCCCATAGACATCCACATTTATCCTCAATAAAGAATCAAAATGCAGTTGCGTCGTTACCCGTGAGGACTAAGATGGAATGCCTCATTTCCAGTAAAAGGGTCTCCGGTTCTCTACACTCACCATACGAAACACCGCAGCGTTAAGCTGCTATTTTACGCAGGTATTCTGTGGGTCCTTCCCCGGTCGAGCCGACCCATTCGTGCTACAACTATACTACTAATATAGCTGCAGCATGGCTCTACCACGTACAAAAAGTATATATATTTTTTTAATAATTTAGCATGAAGTAATGGCCTACAATAATCTTCTTACTACCAGTATGGTTAAAGAATGGGATTGAAAATGGCGTCGCCTATATTCACCTTTCGCACGCACACTATCACTATTTATACTCATACCCGCCAGTAAAGACTGTATGTTCTATGCTACATTAAAAATCAGTCCGGTTTTACTAATTTGTGAGCTACGACACGTTCTGAGTGCTTTTTCTTTATTATTGATTTTGTTAGTTAATATTTTTGTATAAAATAAATCATGCAATTGAGACATTTTTAACATTTTCATACATCTGTCTGTCCGAGCTTACTTTTCTGCCGACTTCCAAAAAGGAGACGTTACTCAATTCGACTGTATGTTTTTTATGTGTCATAAAAAAAGCTCATAACTTTTTACTGGGTGAACCGATTTCGATGATTCTTTTTTATTTGAAAGTTGGTACTTCTCGTGTGGTCCCATATGTATACATATATATTAGTATAGTGTAATTTGATCAAGTTCAGACCAATCGTTTTTGAGTTATTCTTAATAACTTATATTGAAGTCGGCAGTACAACATTATTAATTTTAAATTGTAAACTTCACGAATACGATAAATTAAATGTTCTTTAATAATTATCTTAAGTCTAATGCCACATTAATAGACCCCACCCAGGAGAAGCAAGTGCGGGTCGTTAGTTAAAATTTTATTCTAAAATTAATATACCTACTGGGGTATAGAATTCTTTTCAAATATTTCCAATTAACCGAATAATATAACACTATAACGATATACCGTTATTTCTGGTTTTTCGCTATTAGTACTGTGCATGTTGACGGTACCTGCTTGATGAGCTGCCATTTCTAATCCCATTCTTTATCCGTACGGACTGTACACAATTATACTTTGCTTAAATAATCTCTGAAATAATACGAGCTCGAATGAACATTAATCCAATACTGAATCTAGGCGTGTCCTTTAGAAGAATTTGTCATAACCATCACTCTTAGCACACGCAGATCGCATTATTCTAGTCATTTAGTTCTAGGTAATTTTATAACAAAAATTAAGCAATCTGTGTTAATACCTATCAAGTAAAAGTCATTTTATATATACTTATTCAGCATTTTATTATTTAAACTAAAGCACTCAAAGAATAAAATACAGCAATTATATCACACATACAGCCTTATAGAAATAAGATTTATTGTGCTCTGATTCGATTTTCAATTTTGTTATGGTAAAACTTCTTAAAAATAAATACCTACTATCAGAAACATTGATTTGATAAAGAATTTCAATTACTGGAATTATACTTTATTTTAAAAAGTACAATAATTACTCGTAATGTC